GCACTTTAAGAAGCGGTGTGAGAACGGCCCCGGGCGGCTGGGCTGGGCTGGACCCTTCACTGGACGCCGGATGGGTCAGGCCGGAGGTGCACCAGAGGGGGCGGCAAAGTGCACGTGGGCGTAGCGGTGGGGCGGAAGGCAGGCGGGCCTCCCCTCCGCGACCGCTAACTAAGCAGCTCGACCCCTGAACTCCCTAAAATGGGCCATTGCGGCCATCAGAACTGGCTCCGTAAAGGGCAGGCGAGGCACGCGGGGAAGGGTCCACACGCGGTACTGATGGTGCAGGAGAGCCTGTCATCAGGGCACTCACACGTGCACACACACACACGTGGCGCATGCACACACACACCTGCTGGAGGGGCATTTCCGGCTTCTGTGCCATCGACTGATGACTTTTTGTAGTTTTCTACTATTTTATAACATGTATTTTAGTAGCCTTATTGAGGTAGGATTTACATACTGTAAAATACGTTCATTTTCAGTGAACAATTGAGTGAGTTTTGGTAAACTTACGACTGTGCAGCCTCCACCGTCTGACTGTGGCACGTCCCCACGCCGTGTGCAGGCTCCTCCCCCCAGGCATCGCACACCTGCTTCCTGTCTCTGTGGATGTTGCCCCTTCTGGACATTTCATGGAATCATGTAAGATGTGTTCTTTGGGTCGGCATGACTGACGTTTGTCCACCTACCAGTATTCTGCTCCCTTTTATTGCTGAATGGTTTTCCTGTGTTTTTTTGTGACACCTGTTCTTTATGGGCTTATGGTTCAGAAGCTTCATTTCTAGAACATTCTTGGCAGGTCCATCTCATGCTAGAGTCTGCTTTCTCTCATCCAGAGAAAGGCAGGCTGCACAGAGAAGGGATCCCGGGGCAGCAGCCCTCAGGAGGGCCCAGTGCAGGGGTGGCCCGCCCCCCAGACCCGGAACCACAGACTCTCAGCAGGTGGCCACTCCCCACCTGAGCACCCACCCGGCTCAGAAGACGTGAGTGGTTTTTTGTTTTGAATTTTTTTTTTTTTAAATACAGCAGTTCTTATTAGTTATCTATTTTATACCTATTAGTGTATATATGTCAATCCCAATCTCCCAATTCATCCCACCCCCCGCTTTTCCCCCTTGGTGTCCATATGTTTGTTCTCTACATCTGTGTCACTTTCTGCCCTGCAAACCGGTTCGTCTGTACCATTTTTCTAGGCTCCACATATATGAGTTAATATACAATTTTTGTTTTTCTCTTTCTGACTTACTTCACTCTGTATGACAGCCTCTAGCTCCATCCACATCTCTACAAATGACCCAATTTTGTTCCTTTTTATGGCTGAGTAGTATTCCATTGTATATATGTACCACACCTTCTTTATCCATTCGTCTGTCGATGGACACTTAGGTTGCTTCCATGTCCTGGCTATTGTAAATAGAGCTGCAATGAACATTGTGGTACATGACTCTTTTTGAATTATGGTTTTCTCAGGGTATATGCCCAGTAGTGGGATTGCTGGGTCGTGTGGTGGTTCTATTTTTAGTTTTTTAAGGAACGTCCATACTGTTCTCCATAGTGGTTGTATCAGTTTACATTCCCACCAACAGTGCAAGAGGGTCCCCTTTTCTCCACACCCTCTCCAGCATTTGTTGTTTGTAGATTTTCTGATGATGCCCATTCTAACTGGTGTGAGGTGATACCTCACTGTAGTTTTGATTTGCATTTCTCTATTAATTAGTGATGTTGAGCTGCTTTTCATGTGCCTCTTGGCCATCAGCATGTCTTCTTTGGAGAAATGTCTATTTAGATCTTCTGCCCATTTTTGGATTGGGTTGTTTGCCTTTTTAATGTTGAGCTGAGCTGCATGAGCTGTTTATATATTTTGGAGATTAACCCTTTGTCTGTTGATTCGTTAGCAAATATTTTCTCCCATTCTGAGGGTTGTCTTCTCATCTTGTTTATAGTTTCCTTTGCTGTGCAAAAGCTTTTAAGTTTCATTAGGTCCCATTTGTTTATTTTTGTTTTTATTTCCATTACTCTAGGAGGTGGGTCAAAAAAGATCTTGCTGTGATTTATGTCATACAGTGTTCTGCCTATGTTTTCCTCTAAGAGTTTTATAGTGTCCAGTCTTACATTTAGGTCTTTAATCCATTTTGAGTTTATTTTCACGTATGGTGTTAGGGAGTGTTCTAATTTCATTTTTTACATGTAGCTGTCCAGTTTTCCCAGCACCACTTATTGAAGAGACTGTCTTTTCTCCATTGTATATCCTTGACTCCTTTGTCATAGATTAGTTGATCATAGGTGTGTGGGTTTATGTCTGTGCTTTCTATCCTGTTCCACTGATCTTTATTTCTGTTTTTGTGCCAGTACCATACTGTCTGGATTACTGTAGCTTTGTAGTATAGTCTGAAGTCAGGGATCCTGATTCCTCCAGCTCCGTTTTTTTCCCTCAAGATTGCTTTGGCTCTTCAGGGTCTTTTGTGTCTCCATACAAATTTTAAGATTTTTTTGTTCTAGTTCTGTAAAAAATGCCATTGGTAATTTGATAGGGATTGCATTGAATAGATTGCTTTGGGTATTATAGTCATTTTCACAGTATTGATTCTTCCAATCCAAAAACATAGTATATCTCTCCATCTGTTTGTGTCATCTTTGATTTCTTTCATCAGTGTCTTATAGTTTTCTGAGTATAGGTCTTTTACCTCCTTAGGTAGGTTTATTCCTAGGTATTTTATTCTTTTTGTTGCAACGGTGAATGGGAGTGTTTCCTTAATTTCTCTTTCTGATCTTTCATTGTTAGTGTATAGGAATGCAAGAGATTTCTGTGCATTAATTCTGTATCCTGCAACTTTACCAAATACATTGATTAGCTCTAGTCATTTTCTGGTGGCATCGTTAGGATTCTCTATGTATAGTATCATGTCATCTGCAAACAGTGACAGTTTTACTTCTTTTTTTCCAATTTGTATTCCTTTTACTTGTTTTTCTTCTCTGGTTGCCGTGGCTAGGACTTCCAAAACTATGTTGAATAAGAGTGGTAAGAGTGGACAACCTTGTCTTGCTCCTGATCTTAAAGGAAATGCTTTCAGTTTTTCACCATTGAGAATGATGTTGGCTGAAGACACGAGTGTTTGAAGTGTGTTTATCTCACTCCCACCTTCCTGAGAAGCCAGAGGACAGGGGTCCCTGGCTGGTGGGAGCGGGCCCCGGGGCACCTGGTGCAGACCCTCTGCAGCCTCTCCGGGAAGTGCACCCACTGCCCTGATACCTGATACATGATGCAAGGTGGAGCATTTATCAACAAGAAGCAGCCTTTCTTTTCCTTTTCGTCACTGGAGGTGTTTGGAGCTCCTTTGCCAACTGTCACCTACGACACGGCCAGCACCGAACAGGCAAGTGAGGCACCATCACCCAGTGTTGGTCAGAGGAGCACACCTGGGACGGAGCATCTCGGCTGTGGATCATTGAATGCCCAGCGGGGGCTGACGTCCGTCCCTGACACCTTCCTTGGGAGAAGCCCCACTTTCGTGTCCCTCCGTCCACCACCTCAGGGTTCCTCTGTGTGTGTGTGTGTGTGTGTGTGTGTGTGTGTGTGCGCCCACACTTTGTGCAGCTTCCCGGTCACCTCACGTCCTCCCTGTTTGCTCCTTATAGCAGGAGCGCCAGGGACCTCTCGTCAGTGGGTCACAGGACATCTCGGCCAGTGAATCGAGCAACCAGGGTGCACATGCAGGGGATCACGGGATACAGCATCTGTTTTCAGGCTCTTTGGCCATTTTAAAAATCATTAAGCTGCCGGTAAAAAGGACGCACACATCTCGGAAGAGAATAATTTTGCATTCACCCTGGAGAGAAAAAGATAGGGCGGCAGCCTCTTCAGATTCACGTGTGACCCGTACAGCTGGGCGGGAATCACAGGCAGATAGAGCCCGCAAGAGGTTTCCTTCTCTCCATTGTGTTCCCCACCTTCCAGCTCCATAGGACCAGACGTAGGGACAGCGGGAACCGAATTCCCTAGGACCTGCCCAGCTGCCCCTCGAGGAGCTTCCTGTGTCTGTCAAATAAAAGCCCCTTGGAGTCCCTCTCAATGAGGGACAGCTCGGGACCCTTCCAGGCTCACCCCGTAACGGAAACACGGGGGTGCCGGCCGGCCTGTGGGAGCAGAAACCGCGTTCAGGGGGCTACAGGGGCCCCGCCCTTTAACACTGCTCTTCCCCGCGGGTCAGAGCTCATGAGCTCAGCAGTTCACCGGCTCAGGGCCCGGCCGGAGGCTGTGACCTCGGCCCGAAGGGATCAGAGTGGGCCTCCAGGGAGACCTTGTTTGGGGACCAGTGTCCGCTACCTCATCTGCTACCTCGGGATTCATTTCCAGACGCGAGCGGCAGGGGCTGCAGTGGGGACCCGGGCGTGCCTAGTACTCGCGGTGCCCCTCCAGCTCCTCCAGTGCCTGCCACGGCAGCCCTGGGTCCAGCATCTTTGCCACGGGCCTCGGGTGGCCCTACTCTCGGTCCCTGAAAAGGAGAAGGCGGTACATGGGGGAGTTGGCTTAGCTGCAGCCGGGCGGTGCCAGCCTGGCGCGTTGTTTATTTGCATTCCAATCAACCTGCACGTAGCCGGCTACTTGTGACCCTGGACCTTGGCCTGGCTCCACTGCGGGCGGTTTCCCAGCCGGGAGCTCAGCAGGGTGCCTGTCCCCAGGGAGCCCGGAGCTGGGTGAGTCTGGGGGCGCAGGGCCGCACCTGTGTCCGGCCGGTGGAAGAGGGCCCACGCGTGGTGACACACGGTCCTGTGCCTCCGGTGCCGCGCCCCTGACGAGCTCTCTCCTGCAGGGCGGATGGAGGGCTCCTGGTCCTGAGACCCCACGTGCGGCTGGCGGAAGTGGCCCTGGGACGGCGAGATGCCCTCGGAGCGCAGGGACGTCCTGGTGCTACTCCCCACGCGGGAACGGCTGCGGCTGGCCGTGGGGGTGAGCGCGGAGGAGGGCTGGGTGGGCGACAGCGGGGGGCAGCAGGGGCTACGGGGTGAGCCAGGCCACGTGTGAGGGGTGGCTGTCGGGAGCACATGGGGCCAGTGCGCTGGCGGGCCTGCCCCCTGGGACCGCGCTGTGTTCTAGTCACACCACTGCCCCGCTTAGAGAAACGGACGCTGGCCCTGGCCGCCTTTACCCAGCGTGTCCCTCTCGGTCTGCAGCCCCCGGCTGTGGCCCAGGCCAGACACAGTCCGCAGCGTCCGGCGCCTGCGTGGGCAGACTTTGTTCCGAGGGGCCCATCCCTTCTGGAGCCTCTTCCCGTGACCCAGGCGGGGGTGGAGCTGAGGGCAGCTGCGTCCTCGGCCTGGAATAAACACTAAAGCTGCTGACGGAACCAGATTCAGACCTGGCAGATGGGAGTCAGGCCGCCCACACCTTGTCTGCGGGTGACCGTGAGGTCCTGCCTGGAGGGGCGAGGCCGCGGGTCTGTCCTCCCAGGAAGGTGGCTCCCGCCTTCCCTGGGAAGGGCAGCCCCGAAGCGCTGGGCTGGGGACAGCGGAGCAGGGGTTCGCTCGACAGTGTCCGTGAGAGACCCTGCTTGGCCTCTACCTGATGGCCACGTGACTCAGGTTGTCCTTTCAGGGGAGATGTGAATTGTCGCTTAGGCGTCCATGGATTCACTCCACACGCAGGATGACACGCAGGCGCAGGTACAGGATGGAGGCTCTCTTTAGGAAGCGTGTGACTCCTGCAAGCTCCCACCAGACAATGCAGCTGTTTGAAGTCAGAGCCATTAGCTAAGAAGCCTCATCGCCAAGGGGGTGTGTGCCCGACTCTGAATGCCACCTCGTCTGTGAGGACCAGTGCACCCCTGGGGACGAAGCTCGCCTCTACCGCCTTCCCGAGGCCCCCGGCCACTCCGGGGACAGCGGCTGCCACGCAGACGTCTTCAGGGCGCCCCGCAGGCTCGGCCCCACCTGCCCCTCCCTCCCTGTGAAGGAGCGCCCAGAATGAGAGAGGGGCTGCGTGCTGGCCCCGCACAGGGACTCCCGGCCCCGCAGAGACCCTCCCCGACGGGACCTCCCGGGGAGCGGGGGTACGGAGAGCCGGGGAGGGGAGCCCCCGTCTCTGTACAGCAGCTGTAGGGGTGCGTGGGGCCTGGCCTGAGCACAAACACCCACGGGGACACACCGGATAAGCCGGCCGTCTGTGGGCCCGCTGCTGTGCCCCACGGCAGCTCAGAGCCTGCACCGTGGGCTGCCTGCGCCCCAGCTCCGGCACTCCGGACACGGGGCGTCTAGTGGGTCAGTGCAGGGCCAGGTCGCCTCCAGCCGGGATTTTGACGTCTTTCCACCTCATTCCAGTTGCCCGAGAGAAAATGAAGTGGCCTGAGCCCTCCGGTGCCAGGCGGTCTCTGGAGCTCGGTTGTAGTGGCCCTTCCAGGCGTGTCTGAGCCGAGGTCGAGGTCTCTCTTCCCCATCTCGGCCCGGAGCAGCTCCTCCTGCGCTAACCGGTGCCCCCGTGTGTCCGGCTCTGCCCCCTCCCTTAGCCCTCTCCACGCGCAGCCGGGGCCCTGCCCCCCGCTGGTCTGATCTCAAAGACGGGAAGCTGAGGCCCAGGGTTGGCGAGCACTTGGTGCCGAGTTGGGGCTGCTGCCCAGGCCGCCTGGTTCCAGAGCCCGTCTGCGTTCTCGCTGTAGGTGTGGCCCCCTGCCTGCAGGGGAGCAGAGCCAGAGGGGCAGGGGGTGGGCGCTCTGGAGCCCCAGGCCCCGTCTTGGAGGCACGCCGGGGAGGGGTCAGCCCTCCCATTTGGCCCGTGAAGGGAGTGTTCCTGATAGATGTTGCTGACTGTGAGAAATAAGTTCCTGTTTCTGCATCTCCCTTCTGGGAACGCAGGGTGCAGGGTGCGAGGGCGACGGAGAACTCGGGAAGCTAACGTCCATGTGGAAATGTCTATCTCATGTGTTCAGCCATCGCGGACGCTCGGGCTGTCTAGGGCCCAATCAGAGGAAGACGGAATCTCTGTGTCTGTCTTTCCTTCCTACTCTCACCTTGTCTGCCTGTCTTAGTTGAGTTGAGAGGCAACAGAAAGCACCTAGAAAGTTGGCTGGCCCCTGGGGGAGGGGGGTAACCTCATTGAAGGATAACTGTGGTTTGTGAAACGCAGCACTTGAAGTGGGAGGGGTCTGGCGAAGAGCGCTGGTCCCTGCGGGGCTGGTTTGGAGCTGCCTTTGGGAGGGGGCGGAAGGGGTCTGAGATGCCCCATCGCTCCCGGGAATGTCTTGCCTGAGTCCTGGGAATTTCTCCTCTGCTCAGGGACACACTTCTGTACTGGAGTCAAGGGCCCCAAGCCTCGGCGTCCCCATCCAGCAATGAGATGCTGGAGCTGATCGATGGGCTTTCCGGGGGTTCGCTGTGTCCTTAGAGGTGCCTTATGCCACAGGGAGGGTGCAGCAAGGGGACCTGGGGCAGGGTAGGGGGAGGGGAGGTCCTGGGGCATTGGCCCTGCCCTATGTGAGCCTGGTTCCTCGGTGAAATTTACGGGAAGGTCTTCCTGAAGGACTGTGCAGCCAGAGCAGAGCTGAACCCTCTAGATGGAGACGTGGATCTTGGCTGCGACGGGGCCCACGGAGCCAGCCTCCAGTGCCTGTGGCCTCGCCCTCCTGGCCCTGCAACGCGGAGCCAGCAGAGGAAGTTACTTCCGGGGTGTGTGCACTGGGCTAGCAGTGAGGGAGGACCCCGTATTTAACTGTACCGCGTGCGTCTTCACACCAAGCATTAGGAAGCCATGGGCTGGGAAAAGCCTTGCTGCGAATATGCGTCACCGTCATCGCGGGCGGAGGGATTGTCCCTCACCAGATCAGATGGACGATGACAAGGCCGGCCTCCCGGGCGCTGACCACTAAGAAGTGGGACTCCCCGAGTCGCAGGAGCTCCGCCCGTCCCCGGGAAGCCTGCGACCAGCGTCCTCAGGCTGCCCGGGCCGTCGCACTCCAGCCCCTCAGCTGCCCCCGGTAAATGGGTCTCCGTTCGGTGAACCCGAGCCTCCACCAGCCGGCCTCACGGACACGGGCGCCAGACAACAACGTAGGTCTGTGGGGACCAATCACCGGCCCAGGAAGCACAGAGGACAGAGGACAAGACCCACCAGGGAGATGTGTCGGCCACGGGATAAAGGACCCTGTGTGCCCAACAAATCAACGGCCAGGGAAAGGTCCTGGGGTGGGGCCTTCCTTGAGTCTGGATTCAAATCAACAAAGCTCGAAAACGTTGACGTTTGTGAGACAACCGGAAATTTGAACGTGTGAGATGGCTGATATAAAGACGTTGTTAACGTTTTAGGTGTAACGAAGCATTTGTGGATAATGGAAAGCCGACTGGCTAATAGTTGTGGTGAGGGTGAGAGCCCGCCCTTTCGTGTACACACACCGACGCAAGAGAGACCTCACTCGTGCAGGTGTGGACGCACACCCAGGACTGAGGCCGCGTGGGAGCGGGGAGGGGTGGGGAGGTGACGGCGCTGGGGCTGGGCCTGGGCCCTGAAGCCCGGCAGGAGGTCCCTGTGGGGCAGGACGGCTGCTGTGGCAGAACTGGGGCGTGGGGAGACATGGGCCTCCCCTGCAGCACACGCCCCTTTCAGGGGTGCCCAGATGCCAGCCCCGCTTTCAGGAGTCACCTAGCGATGCTGGCTTAGGGTGAGGAGAGAGCCCAGTGGGGTTCCTGGGGGCACGGAGCCTCCCACACCCCATCCTTGGAGGGAGCAGCCTCCTGTCCTGGGGTTGGACATGCCGCCCCCGCCCTCGTGAGGGTCCCACCCTCTCACAGGCGGCCTGCTGTGTTGGGGGGACTTCTAGCCGTCAGCCTGGGGAGTGACCAGGGACCCCGAGCCCTGACCCTGCTGAGCGGGAAGCCTGCTGAGCCAGACCCCCTGCCCACCAGCCTGGCTCAGTGGACCCTCCTCTGGACTCCCTCCTCTTCCAGGGGTCGCCCTGCTCGGCGCCCTGAGCACTTCCCATCTCTATCGCAGGTGCAGGCCGCCGGGCACGAGCTCTTCCAGCAGGTGTGCGACCTGGCCGGCATCAGAGAAGCCCACTTCTTTGGCCTCAGTGTGATAAGAAGTAAGCAAGTGTCGCCTGACGACCCTGGGCCCCCGGGGCCCCTCCAAGGGCGGGAGAGCGGGTGCTTGGGGCTGAGTCTGAAGGAGACCCCAGGCCTCCGCCTGGTGCTGCCTGGTGCCCACGTGTTCCAAGGGCACCAGGGTGTCTGGGCGATTCCCCCTCACTGCACCGGAGCACAGGCGCGTGCACTCATGCTCACACATGCAGGTATTTACATACTTGCACGTTCACACACATGCCACACATGCGCACTCAGGCACACACGCACGTGTTCAAGTGTTCACGCGCACACACACACACACAACCACACTCGTGCACACTGTCTCACATGTTTACATACTTAACCCATTCACACGTGCGCACTTACATACTCACATGCTGGCACACTCATACCCTTACATATTCACACTATAGGCACACACGTATTTACATGCTCTCACACGGGTGCACACATGCACACACACATATACACTTGCACACTCCCCTCCTCTGGAGAGAAAGGGTGAGCAGGCTGGAAGCTTGCTTTCTGGAAGCCCTGGGCCCTGCGGGTGTGCAGGGCCCAGTTCAGAGCCGTGGGTCAGATGGAGCCTCCGTGGACCCCTGGTGTGAGGAGGGGCAGTGCTGGCAGACGAGGTGGGGCGGCCGCCTTGTCCCCTTGTCCCAGGCTCCCTCCAGGCTCCCTCCAGGCCCCGGGCTGAGTGGACGAGCACAGAGGGCAGAGCAGGGGAGCTTGACCCTCCGCCTGTATCCCCCAGCCTGTGCACCCCAGGCAGGCGTCCAGGTGGGGGCTGAGCGAGATGGGGAGACCCCATGGGGACATGGGCTCTGAGGACCCGGCCTCTCCCTCGGCCGTCCGTGCAGCGTGTCCTGCAGACTCGTGAGCATTTCTCTGAGGGAAACAGTCCTGCGGTGGCCCCTGCGTGATGACCCAGGCCTTCGTCCCACGTGGGGTCCCTCGGCCCAGCCGCAGAGAAGATTCCGTGCTTGGGCCGCCTGACCTCTCCGGGCCCTGAGCACAGTGGTCACTGGTGCGACTCCCGTCCCTGCCAGGCTCTCTTTGGAGCTTGTAATTTCGTCTCAGCATGGCTGAGAGCCGAGCCCTGGGACTTCTGGTGGCCGAGTGCCTAGGGACTTGGGGGGCGGGGGGCGGGGGCGCGGACCAAGCAGGGAAGAGAAGGAGGATGAGGTGAGGTCACAGGTCAAGGTCCCCATGGGAATTCCTGCCCTTAGACCTGGCCGTGCGTCCCCTGGCGTGAACTTGGAGTGTCCCATGTGGGACCCCCAGCCTGGCCCGGGGGAGGTGGTAGAGCTCAGGACAACCGCCTTTTTTCCTGTCAGGAAATCGCTCCCCACTTCCGGGCCCCGGACAGAATCGGGGACATCGGTAAGACGGTGCTGCAGGCAGGGGGCCCGGCGCCCAGCATGGGGTTCACGTCCTGGAGGAGCGGCTTTGGGTTAAATTTTAATATTAGTGGACTTTTCCCAGTTTGCAGGGAAAGCTCAGTTAATGGGTAGCTTTGCCCCAGTTTACACTTCCGTCCAGAATCGCCGTCTTAGCCGTTGGCCGCCGCCGCCTTGTGCCTGGCCCTCGCAGACAACCAATCAGGACGCGAGCGTTTCTAAGTGTTTCTAAGCGTTTCTAAGAAGCTTGGTTTGTTTGGGGGAGGAGAGGGTTGCCAGTGCCCATTCCTCCACAAGTCTGTCGTCTTGTTCTAGAAGTTTCCCGCTTCATGGAAATGAAGTCCCCATCGTTCCAGAGAGGGTCCTGGTGGGCCTGGTGGAAGCTGAGCGGGGGGCTGGGGTAGGTGGCGGGACCGCTCACTTCGCGGCACAGGCCTCGTGGCGTAGGACCGGGCACACGCGGGCGGTAAAGCAGAGAGAGGGCACGCACACACGTGGTGACTTCGTGCGGGGACTCGTTGAGACCCGGAGCCCTGGGGGGAGGGGGTCACAGGCTCTGGGGGGGCCCTACCCCTGGGACACGGTGGTTGGGTTTAGGGGTACCCTCTTCCTCCTGAGCTTTGTCACTTGGGAGCCTGGGCCTCTGGAGCATCTGGAGGTGGCTTAGCTGAGGGCGTGTGCCACTCCGGGCCTCTCTGGTCCAGGACAGCCGCCAGCCCTTGGGTCCCCCCGCCAGGGCTTGAGGTGCAGTGCCGCCACCACCTGACCCTCCGAGGCCCCGCTGGGGTCTGGGTGTGGGACGTGCAGGCGGGCTCAGACTCAGTGGGTGGGCACGTTGGGGGCTCCAGACGCGGAGTGAGGATGGACCTGAAGGCCGGCCACCGGGAGTAAAGCAATCGAGGGACGTCGGGGGAGGGGTGGCAGGCTGGCCGCCGGAGCAGGGAGGTCTCAGAGGGAGAAGCAGGGGGCCAGTGGCGTTCACAGGCCCACCCCAGTCTCCCTCTGCCCAGGACGGCGGGCCGCGCAGCCAGCCCCCCGTCCTGCAGGTAGCCCTGCAGGATAGAGGAGAGACGCAATGCCCATTTTACTGAAAAAGTACTTTGAGGATTTTCAGACATCCCTGAAAGTAGAGACAACAGCATGCAGCAGTTGCCAACCTTTTGCAAACCTGCTCCTTTGAACCCTGAACGTTTTGCTGGTTATTTAAAATAAATCCCAGGCTTCATGATACTCCATCCCTAAATACTCTTTACGTATCTCTTGAAAGAGAATATTTTCTTAAATAGCCACAATGCCATTTGTACACCCAACAGAATTAACAATTTCTTGATATTATTATTTTATTTATTTTTTTTATTTTTTTTTTTTGCGGTACGCGGGCCTCTCACCGCCATGGCCTCTCCTGTTGCGGAGCACAGGCTCCGGACACGCAGGCTCAGCGGCCATGGCTCACGGGCCCAGCCGCTCCGCGGCATGTGGGATCTTTCCGGACCGGGGCACGAACCCGTGTCCCCTGCATCGACAGGCAGACTCTCAACCACTGCGCCACCAGGGAAGCCCCTCTTGATATTATTTAATATTCGCTTGATGTTTAAATTTCCCAGTTGTTTCGGAAATGTCTGTTTATAGCTGCTTTGTAAGAATAAGGACCCAAATAGCGTCCCCGCGTTGTGTTTTGTCACCTGGTCCCTAAACCTCTTAGGATCAGAACCAGCCTCTGCGCAGCCTGCACGGCCTCAGGTAACAGAGGCCTCAGACCAGGCGGCGTAAACGACATTTCTCGCAGTGCGGAGGCTAGAGGTCTGAGATCCCGGGGTCAGTGGGGCCGTTCCTCCTGAGGCCTCTCTCCTCCGCGTGTACTTGGCTGTCTTCTCCCCTTGAACTCACGTGGCCATCCCTCTGTGCAGGTCTGTGTCTGAGCTCCTCTTGTTATGTGGACCCCAGTCCCGCCAGATCAGGATCCACCCTAATGACCTCATTTTAACTTAATCACCTCTTAGAAGGCCCAGCTCTAAATACAGTCACGTTGTGAGGCCCTGGGGGTTTGGGCTCCAACATAAGAATTTGGGGACACATGCAGCTCCTGACACCCCTTTTTCATGCCAGTGGCTCGCTGAGGCCAGTGCGTCCACTGTCCCACTGGCAGCCCCACACTCTAGGATCCCGTTTCCTCCCAGCATCACCTAAATTGGCTCTCACCCCACACTTCCCTGTCCCGGAAGTTGGCGGGACCGCCCAGTCACTCCACTCAGCCTTCTGGGTGGGACAGCATCACACGTACCGCAGGGCTGGCCCTGGGCGTGTCTGTCACAGGACGCCACGTCTGGGCCCTGCTTCTAGTGGTGCGAGATTGGCCCATGGGTTCAGGTGGGCAGTGCTGGAAGCCCATGTCCAGCGGGTGGGCTGCAGCTGGGGGGCTAGTGGGCGACTTTGAGAAACAATACATTCGATCCATTTCTAGCGCCTTTGTCGTCTAGGTTAGTGACGCTGTCGGGACTTTTCTTCTAGAGCTTGAACTTAAGCTGAAGGTGGTTTGTTTCTTTCTATTCTTTATCGTGAACTTGGCGGGGAGCTTGGAAGGAGCAGGAAGGTGATTTAGATAATCACATGTGAAAAAGGGCCCTTGTAGCCCTTGCAAGGTGGGCTTGGCTTTTCACTCCTGTTCCCAAGTGCGGGCTCCTTAGACAAAACCCCGATCCTTTAACAGCGCCGCCAAGGTCAAACGGCACGCGATGGCTAAGCCTGTGGGCTCCGACCACCCTGGGGGAGCCTCCAGGCCACAGAGGACAGTCTAGATGAATGAAGAGCAGTGCTTGCTCGGAGCAGAGGTGGGCACACTTCCTGTACAGGGCCAGATAGTGCGTGTCTCTGGCTTTGGAGCACGAAAGCGGCTACAGACGTTATGTAGCAGAGGAGCCCGTCTGTGCTCTGCTTGGCCCAGGACCCTCCTTTGCTGACCCCGGGCTTCAAGGGTCCTTGGCCTGGGGGTGGGGAGGGGGTTACCCTAGGACCCCTACCAGGGTTTTATTAGCCGTGTGACTGGCGTGTTTCCAAGCCTCTGCAAGGCCAGGTTTCCTCCTCTGCAAAGTGAGCAGAGATAACAGCCGAGGTGTTGAGGATGCAAGGATGCGGGGGTTGGCTCAGGGTCCCAAGCCCAGAGCCTGCACACGGCAGGCACACCCCATCCTGAGGCGGGGGCTGCTGAGTGGTGTGGCGGGCCCCGCCCTGGTCCCCTGGCACCGCCCCGTCTATACCCTCGAAGGCTGCCTCGTGGAGCTGGGAGGGGTCAGGCTGTCCTGCTGTCCTCAGAGAGGGGCCTGCAGGTGGCGCAGTCGAGGCCCTGAGAGTCACCGGTTCTGGATCTGAGCCTGACAGTAACGGAGGGAGGCTGGCCCGCCGATGCTCCTCTCTAGAATAATCTCATTTTTCTCCAACTTACAAAGGAAACACGTGGTAGTAATAGTCCAAAAACACAGAGCGTAGAATTTGGAAAGAAGGGTCCCCCGTGACCATTCCCAGCATTACCACGTTAATGTGTCTTGACTTGAAGTTGGGGAGCCTGGTCCCAGGTTTACAGGCCTTTCCAGTTTCGAAGGACTCGGTCTACAGCTGGGAGAGGGGCTGTTGGGAGGAAGACCCTTCCGGACCGTCACGCTCCCGGCAAGGACCAGCTCCAGTGCCATCGCGATGTCAGTGCCTAGGTTTCAGTATCTAAAGATTCCACACTTGGGAAAACCACCCAGCAAAGCCTGGATGTCAGGAGACACGCTCCTTCAGCCTGCCACGCCGAGGAGGCCACCACGTGTGACTGGTCGCACATGGGCCCCTCCCAGCACGCTCTGCTCCAGGCCCTGCTTCTCTCTGTAGACAGCGAGCACGTCTTCATGGATTTGGAGCAGAAGCTCAGCAAATACTTCTCAAAGGACTGGAAGAGAGAAAGACATAGAGTGAGCTAAACTGCCAGGCGGGGGAGGGCAGGGTGGAGGGGCCCGGGAGGCCCAGCTGCTGGCCCCCGCCCCAGGTCCCGGCGCGGAGTCTGCGGGCGCAGGGAAGCCAGCCCCGTGGGTGCAGGTGCGCGCCCTTGAGCGTTCTGGACATTTGCTCAGCTTTTCCTTTTAACAAAGTGACGTAAAATCATGGACTGCCCCGCAGTACAGACCTGAGCTGTGACCTCGGGCTGGGTCTGAAGCGATGCAGGTGATGGCTCCCTCCTGAGCACCAGCCAGGGGTCAGCCCCCTCCCCCCAGGTCTCAGCACCGCCTTCTCTCCACCCTTCCACCCCCAGGGAAGCGGCAGGCCCGGGGCCCCCTTCGTGGCCTTCCTCAGGGTGCAGTACTACGTGGAAAACGGAAGGCTTATCAGGTAAAGTCGCTCGCCAGTTCTCTGGCACGTTCCCGGAAGGGTGACCACCTGTCAGGATGTGGTATCGCTGTTGCTTGGGGGGCAGAGGCGCAGCCATTCTTTTTAATTAACCAACATGTAAAGACTAGGGCAGAAGCAAGAGAGTGTTTCGAACACAGGTATTTTATGCCCCAGGGTGGGGTTTTCCCAGGTGTGTGCTGGAGGGTCTGCGGATTCCTCTGTAAGTGGGACCTCCTCCTGCTCTGGGCTGCGCGCCCAGCTGCTGGTGCCCCGTCCGGGTGGGAAAGGGCCCCAGGCTGGCACACCTGCAGGGCCTCCTTCTGAGTTCCTGGGCCTACTTTCCCGAGAGAACCCCACCAGAGCATGTGGGAAAATACAGATGCTGGGGCGCCCCAGGAACTGAGTTACCCCAGACCGGGGGTGGGTAAGCGGGGCCCGTGTCCCAGGAACCCCCTGAGCAGGTGCAAGTGGGCCGGGGTCCCCACAAGCCTCCCCAGGCAGAGAGCTGGTGGGGGGGAAGGTTCTGGAAAAGTCTCAGAGGGGAAAACAGGCAGGTTGCGGGGAGGGAGCGTGGCTGCCCCGTGCTGTGGCGTCAGTCGCTGGTAGTAGTGTTAGAAGATCTGAACTTGTTCTTCCCAGGGGCCCTGCTCCCTGTGTGTGCTGGGAAATTAGCAGAAGAAAGGGGCCTGTCTCTTAGGAGGCGGCTATAAACCAGGTCTGCAGAGTCCTGGGTCCCAGGAGCCCTGCCCGAAGTCAGGCTCACCTGGCTTCTCAGCAGCAGGGGGGCGGCAGCACATCCGCCTGTACCTCCCCCGCTTCGGGGCCCTGAGGGTCCTGGGGCCCTGGGGCAACGAGACGGGGCGTGGCGGGCGGGGGGTGGTGACTGGCGGGGTGGGAGGCCGCGGGCTGCAGGGGGACAGCGCTCCCGAGCCCGCTCGCCCGCCAGCGACAGGACGGCCAGGCACCTGTACTACTGCCACCTGAAGGAGCGGGTGCTGCGGTCCCAGTGCGCCCACCGGGAGGAGGCCTACTTTCTGCTGGCTGCCTACGGGCTGCAGGCCGACCTGGGCGATTACCGCGAACCGGCACACTCGGGCCGCTACTTTGAGCCGCAGGCCTACTTCCCGCAGTGGGTGAGGCCCCTCTCTCCATCCTGGGCGCCACCCCCAGGGGCCGGGGGGGGGTGGGACCCCGGGCTGGAGGGGGAGCAGGCTGGACAGATGGCTGGCGGCTCCCTCCTCAGATCATCACCAAGAGGGGCAGCGCCTACATCCTCAGGCACGCGCCCACCCTGCACCGTGAGCAGGGGGGCCTGAGCCCCAAGGAGGCCGTGCTGCGCTTCATCCGGGAGGCCTGCCGGCTGGAGGACGTGCCCGTCCATTTCTTCAGGCTGTACAAGGTCCAGCTGCGGGGACGCCAGGTGGGGGAGGGTGGCTCAGGCCTGGGACGCACCTCCCCAAGGGTCCACAGGGCGGCTGGGACCCCGACCCAGGACAGGAGGGACAGAGTCCCCACGGCTGTCCTAGGGCCAGGACCCCCAGCCAGCATCACAGGGGAAATGGGAGGAGGCCCGGGGACCCCACCTCAGCCCTCAGGCACCCCTGGTCCACCAGCGAGGGTCTGCGAGGGGGGCCACAACCCCAGGCCAGGGGCTCTAGACCTTGCCAACGTCTGTGTCCTCTTAGGATAAGAAGGAGGACCGACCTACCATTGTCCTGGGACTGACCCTCAGAGGGGTGCAGGTCTATCAGGTGACCGGCAGGGGCCCTCCTTCCCCTCCCCCCCTCCTCCCCCTCCTCCCCTCCC